GATAGCCACAGACAAGTGCATTTCGGTCGCAAAATGATCCGGCATGATTCATTTCTCGGAATTGTTCTTGGTCGCACAAATAGTAGCTCAAGTTGACATGAAAAGTGTAGGTCAATAATATCTCGCCCGCGGATATCAAGGCGTGCTTCGACCCATATTGCGCAACCAAGTAGAACCGACAGAGGAGCGGCCGGTCTCTCGTGATATACAATTCACGCTGCCCGGCCATGGTCAACACTCCGCCGGCCAAGGCCGTCTCTGAGGGTCGCCGCGAGAGGGAGACATTCAGGTCCGCGCCCCAAAGTGCTTCTTTATCGGCCTCGACGGCTTTTCGTCAATGCAAGCTTCGCTCATCTTTAGTATTGAATTTCCTGACCGCCTCCGCAGATATGACAGTTCCTTGATCGCACATACAGTCTACAACGACCCAAACAATCTCAAGCCATCCTCGGAACTTCGGTCATGTCCTGATGCGGCACTCACTTCCTTCGCTGAACTCGGCGCTCTACGCCTGAATGCGACCCGAGCCATGATATCCCTCTTCGACAGCAAGTATCAGTACGTCATTGCTGAAGCTACGCAGTCACTCGCTCTGACTCCCGACACCAATCCTCCAGAAACCCAGCGCGGGGATATCGACCAGCTACTACTGTGCGGCACTGCTATCCCACGATCTTCCGGCATATGCGAGCTCATCCTCTCAATCTCCGATCACCTCGACGAACAACATCCTTCGGGTCCCCATCAGCTACCTGTTACCGTTATTCCAGACCTTTCTGAAGATCCTAGGACCTCCCAGCGAGCCTTCTGTCTGAACACGCCGCAATGTCGCTTCTATGCCGGAGTCCCAATCCGTTCACAAAGCGGTATACACATTGGTGTCTTTAGCATCTACGGAGATACCCCGCGCAAAAGCTTTGACAATGTGGAAAATCAACTTATGCAGGATATTTCGAAAGTGATCTTGAACTATCTCGACGCAAAACGGAACAGGGACGATCACCGACGCGCAGACAGGATGGTTCGCGGCGTTGGTAGCTTCGTCGAGGGCAAGAGCACCATGTCGGGATGGAGGGACAGGAATAATATTGACTCGTTCGATGACCACCCGTCATTTGAGGGGGCTCTGAACAAGAACCAGCAAAGGATCGAACGCAACAGAGAAAAGGTGGCATTCGAGGCCTCTCAAACACAACAACATCAGTCGTCTGCTGTTGCGATGCAGAATGCGCCACAGCCAAAAGTCCAAGCACCAGATGATAAGCCAGTCTCGCCTACAGCGGATTCTCGACCTTATCCTCAGCCAAACCAAGACCCGGAAGCACTCCCATCTGTGTCCGGGACCTCCTTGGAAAGTATCCATTCAGGGACAGAAAGTGTTTCGCAGGGAGACGGTGACTCGCACATGTCACATATCCGGCACATTTTCTCAAAGGCCGCCAACATTGTTCGAGAAGCTATAGAGGTTGAGAGCGTGCTTTTTGTGGACGCCAGTATCGGCTCGTTCGGAGGGCTTGCTGTCCCTAGAGCGACCAACATGAGGTCTGCCAGGGGCCGAGTCTCATCCTCATCATCTAGTGACGAGCAAACAAGCCCTAGTCTAAGTACCGGGAGTGTTTTGGGCAGCGATAGCGACCAAGACGACAGCCTATGTGCGATCCTCGGCTTCTCGAGTTCATCTACCTCAAGCGTCGACGGAGACCTACCGTCTCTGAATCACACCTCCATATCCGAAAAGTTCCTTACGAAATTGTTACGAAGATATCCGCAAGGTAAAATTTTCAGCTTCGACGAGAACGGCTCTATCCAATCCAGCGACCATTCCGGCGACGACCATATCGCACAGCCAGAAACACCACTTCAGGAGATCGTAGATATTATACAGGGCCCAACCGAGGACGAACGGCAACGAAACAAGAAACGAAAGCATGCCTACTCGAGACGGAACGAAGGGAAAACTCTCAGCGGCCTATTTTCAGGAACCAGAAGCATGGCCATCATACCTTTGTGGGACGTACAAAAGCAACGTTGGTACGCAGGCGGATTCGCCTGTACCAAGACTCCAACTCGAGTGCTTACCATCGAAGGCGAGCTCAGCTACTTACGCGCCTTTGCATCAGTCATCATGTCAGAGGTCGATCACGTCAGCTCGATGCTTGTTGACAAGGCGAAGACGGATTTGTTGAGCTCACTTTCTCATGAGCTACGCTCCCCGCTCCACGGCATTATTCTTGGCGCAGAGTTGTTGCACGATACCACTATGGACGCTTTCCAGGGAGAGACGTTGGTTTCGATCGAAAATTGTGGTCGCACACTGCTGGAAACAATAGACCACCTCCTGGACTGGAGCAAGATCAACAACTTCATCGGCCCGTCAAACCACCGGAGAAACTCAACCACATTTGGTGAGCGAGGCTTGAGAGCTCGGGATCGAAAGATTAGCATCGAAGCTGGTATGATGAGCATCACATCAAATGTCGAAGTCGACGTTCTGTCGGAAGAGGTTGTTGAGAGTGTTTGTGCTGGCTTCAGCTACCAACGCATCTCTGTGGCCCAACTTGCGGGCAACAGACCGACAGACCACGCCGATACTACTGCATTACGCAAACTTGACAGCATGCAAGCAATGGAAGAAATGGCGACGAGAACCAACAAAATCGGGGATTTACAACTCATCCTCGGAGACGTATCCGTCACTTTCGACATTTCACCCGCGGTCTCCTGGGGTTTCCATACACAGCCTGGAGCTTTGAGGCGAGTCATCATGAATCTCCTAGGGAACTCGCTCAAGTACACAGAAAAGGGATTCGTCAACGTCAATGTTAATCAGCTGGCCCCGTTGACTGATGTACCATCCACTAAGGCTATCATTCAAATCGATGTGGTAGATTCTGGACGTGGCATTAGTCATGAATACCTACAACATCATCTATTCGCGCCCTTCGCTCAAGAGGACTCTTTTTCTGCCGGAGCCGGTCTCGGTCTGAGCTTGGTCAAGCGGATAGTTAGCAAGCTGCGTGGGTCTATCCAGGTATGGAGTAAGGTCGGACGAGGGACGAAAGTGAGGGTTCAACTTCCCTTGCTATGCGCCAACCCAGCATCACCAACGGCAGCCAACGTGGAAGATGGCAACATTGATGCCTTTCGGGCATCTGTCGGCGAACTCATGGGTCTAAGAGTCAAACTGTTGGGTTTCCCTGAAGACTACGGAGTCAAAATGCCCGACGAGTTGGCCAGCAACACCCCCAGCGAAGGAGCACTGGTCACAAATCTCTGCAGGGAATGGCTTCATATGCAAATCATTGACCAGTCCATCCCGCCCTCGCAACAACTCCTTCCCGACTTGGTTCTGTCTACAGAAAAGCAACTAGAGCAGCTCTTGACGGAGCGACGCTTAGGCATCATTAACACACCGGTCGTGGTGATATGCCGGAACGCGCTTATCGCGCGCCAACTAGCTACCTCGGCACGATTCACCGGTAATCGCATCGTATTTGAGTTCATCTCACAGCCGTAAGTTTGTACCTTCCGAATCAGTGATCGGCTTCAACTAAGAATTTGTCTACAAGGATTGGCCCGAGAAAACTTGCCAAGGTGCTTTTGCTGAGCTTCAAGCGATGGACGAAAATGCAAGAACGGGCGATACCAACTCCTACAATGTTATCCTTGGCCAGCCCAGAAGCGTCCAACGCGGGTGGCGACACGCCGACTGGGTGTGCACAAGACAGACTCACGGACGTGGGAAGCACCGAAGCCCTTCCGGATGTTCCGACCAGAGAGGATCTCCCCGAGAGATTGAAGGAGTTGCCAAGTACCGAAGTCGAAGCAAAGCAGAGTGTGGATGACCAAGCTGTGCAGGCGAGAGAAACGGATCCAAGGCCTGAGGATGTCGCTCTACCGGACACGCCGGAAGAACATCCCAAGAGGCTAACGCTCGATGGCCAAGACACCCCCCGATTGTCTCACAGACCAAAGAAGACGGGAGGATTTCGTCCCAAGTTTCTCCTGGTGGACGACAACCCACTCAACCTCAAGATGCTGGCAACGTACATGACGAGGCTTGGACACGACTATCGGAACGCAAGAGACGGGCAAGAAGCGTTAGACGAGTTCCGCCAAGCACCGGGCGAGTATCACTGTATTCTGATGGACATCTCGATGCCTGTGATGGACGGCTTCGAGGCGACACGACGGATTCGTGCTATAGAGACGAATGACAGCCTGTCACGCTGTCTGATCATCGCGCTTACGGGATTGGCATCAGCCAATGCACAGCAAGAAGCGTTTGCGAGTGGCATCGATCTATTCCTGACTAAACCTGTGCGGCTGAAGGAGCTAAGCAAGATACTGGAGAGCAAGGGTATAGCATGATGAGCAATGCGCGACGCAGGAAAATGAGGGGGCTCGCGGGTCATACTCGCTTGGCAGGAATTGGGATGGAGACGCAATGGCGGTAGGAAAAAGCTTTTATGGAAATGTTGAGCAATCGTATTACATGGAATACCCCAATGGCTGGAATGCATCACTGCAACGACCCGGCTGGAGTTACTAGACTTTGTTGGGCGGGATTGTTGTCTACACGATTTGATGCGCATCAGCAGCATAGCAGTAGACGAATATGATGATAGATGGCCCTCGGGGCAATAAGCCGCCGCCCTCTTTCTTCCTCGGGCCTTTGAGGACACAAGCACCACCTTGACTTGGTCCAATCTGGGTTATCGCTAACAGCTTTGACAGCTTCTTTGTCAATCTGACCTTTCTTGCTTGATCCCTTGTGTTCGGCATTGTTTGTCTACGGCTACAATGGCAATGTTTCCTTGGCTGTGGGTTGGTTTAGTCTGAGATGGAATACATAAGCCAGAACTTTCCACAATACCAAGGACTATCACCTTCGATAAGCCACACCAGAAAGAAACTTCAACAAACCGGCAACCAAACACTCCCTCTACAGATTCAAATAACCCCCAAGAGCTTGACCAACAGGAGAATAAACTGACGAGATGGATACTACGGGCAGCACACTCACGCCACCCACGACCGCAACGACAACGACAACCACCACCCTCGCCGAGCCAGGCTTCTTCCACGACACGCTCCCGTCCACCGAGCTCCCCAGAGATATCTACGTCCTCAAGGACTGGTACTTTACCCGCTGCCGCACCCTCAACGACGCAAAAGCCCTGCTGGGCGTCTACAACACCCTCATCCTAGACCTCGGCGTCACCTCCCACGAGCTCTACAAGTGGAAATCCAACAAATCCCTCGGCTACCGCATCGCGCACCTCATGCTCGAGACCGCCTTTGCCGGGGACAAGATCTCAAAGGAGCGAAGGAAGTGGGTGAAGCAGCATAAGCACGTCTGGTGCGGCGAGATTCAGAACTACGATGTGCCTGTGTTCGAGTTCACCGAGGACGATCGGGCGTTTCTGCAGGGGAGGTGGCCGAGGGCGTGGGTGCGGTATAGTGTCGCGCAGATCGAGTGGGCGATGGAGGTTGAGCTGGAGCAGGCGAGGCGGTTTTTGCCTCAGAAGCATGAGCGGAGTGTGAGGAAGGAGAATTGGAGGTGGTTGTTTGGGGAGGAGAGGTGGGTTAGGAAGATTGCGTTTTTGGCGTTTGATGCTGAGGGGGCGGATGGTGAGGTTCGGTGGAAGGAGTGAGGTGTTGGCTTTTGAGGGAGGTTACTTGTGAGGTTGTCTGTGTTTTGTTTGGTATTGCTTGTTGGAGTAGGAGTTTGGAAACTGCCTTTCATGAAGAGAATCCCATCGTCTTGCATAGCTCTCGTAATGAGAGAGATAGAGTGATGAAGGCATGATGTATCTACTTCCTTAAACCGCGTTGAACGCTTGTTCTCCTCTGGTATTGAATGTTCAGAATGGAGGGGTTTTTAGGCCGCGTTCGAGGGTTCAATTAACAGAGTCTGAACGTCATGGGCAGCACTTCGTCAAATGTTCTAACATAGGTGTAAAGGATCCCCTTTATCATACCTTACCCCATATAAACCACCGCCCCTTCACACTCCTCTTCGCCTCCATCGTATTCCAAGACCATATTCGCATTAAGGGTAGTTAATAAGGACGAGGAGTATTTATGAAGTCACGGGGTGAGGGCCTACCACGGGCTGATCCTTACATACCTGCCTTAGTATAAAAGTCGCCCGGTTGATTAAAGCTGAGGTGAAGCTTCCGGATACTCTAAACCGATCTGATCGTCTGAGGTGAGTATCTCATTCCCGTCCGCTCCCGCAAAGAGATCTTTTAAGACCCTACCCAAGCAATTCACTCCCATCAATCCAGGGTCTTCCCATCCTCTTACTTTTCTTCACATCCTCCTCCTGGCAATTTTCCTTCCAAACCTCCAACAATCACCACTTATCCACACCTTTCCTGTATCAACAAAGACTGACAAAGATGGCCTCCAAGGAGGACAACACCGCCACCGTCCTCGAGACAATCCCCGAGGACCCTGCCCCCAAGCGCACCACCCGAAAGAAACTCCCAGACTCGAAGCCCTCGAAGCCCTCGAAGCCCTCGCCCGAGGAACCCTCCCCCGAGAAGAAGAAGCCAGCCGCCCGCAAGCCCGCCTCCAAGAAGACCACTACAGCCGCTGCCTCCCGCAAGCCCAAGCCGGCCTGCAAGAAACCCATCATGGGACCCGGCCGCCCCAAGGGAAGCAAGAACAAGGCGGTCAAGAAGAATAAGCCCCCCGCGAAGCGCAACAAAAACGCCAAGCGCACCACGGCCCACGACCTCCTCGCCGCCATCCAGAACGACGAGATCCCCACCAACGCGCAGGTCAAGGCCGACTACGGTTTCTCGCGCTGCTACATCACCCTCGACCAGAGCAAGCTCTACAACGTCTACCGCACCGTCCTCGAGGACTTTGAGGTCAAGCCTGAGGAGCTCCACGAGTGGCTTCACCACGAGGATGGTCTGAAGAATGTGGCCGCGGAGATCAAGGCCAAGTTTGAGGTCTTGCTTGGTCCGGATGATTACCAGGGTGATTACAAGTGGTTCCTTGAGAACCAGTACATCTGGGACCCCGAGGATCTTGTCAGCGAGGCTAAGGCTGCGCGCGCTGCGAAGGAGTTGAAGGAGTACTACGATGCTCGTAAGCGACCTGGTGACGACTTTGACTGGTACTCTTGAATGCTCGACGAGACTGGCAAGATAATCCCCTCGATATGATGAGGGCAATTGCTCGACATTAGCATTATGAGATTTACACAGATGTGATTAGCTTACCCTTCCCCATCAACGAGAGCTCGAGCTGACCATCGCAGTGCCTTTTGCTACCTGATGGGACAAACCATACACCATCACCACCTTGTTCTCTGCGATACCCTCGGATGCTTGCTTCGATATGGCGTATCGAGCTTGGAAACGGAAGTGCAATGGCTGGGTTTGGATGCGGCAGGTCTTGCCATACAGTTGTGCTTGGAGATAGAGAACCGGTCGCCTTGATAGTACTGCACCCGCTGACATTGACATGCTGTTAATAGAGATGGCCCTGACATAAGAATTCTTCCCTTTTGCAAACTTTGAAGTGATCACGATGCTCTTTACACAGAATACTGCTTTTTCAATGGAAGGCGCCTTATAATTTCTGCTTTGTTCCTTCCTTATCTTCTCCCCCATATGTCCGTCTTGAGGAAGGAATTTGGGACCGGCTCCTTCCCACGGTTGACGTTGGCAGCTTCACTTACATAAGCCCCCACCATCCGCGTCCTTCCTTTGCCTCCCCCCATCAACTTCATCGCCAAGTCATCCAGACCACCACGATTTCGCGAGCGACAACTGCCAATTGAGAAGGCCATCATATTCAATACCAAAAATCATATGTAATCACTTGGTAGCGCATACAAGATTCAGCGTCGGCCTCAATGGCATCGACCCCCACCACGTCCTACGCACTGTGCTCGACGCCCCTCCTTGCCCCTCCATCGAACGCCCTCTCGAAAGCGGCCGACCTCGACGCCAAACAACCATTCGTTACACTATCATTACAAGTGCGCAAGCCTCAACCCGCAGCTAGTTTTGGTACGCTCACCTCCGCCTGCTCCGCGCCACAGATAATCACCTCCCCGCGATAAATGGCAACAAGCGCAATGTAGCTGTAGGTCATGGCACATTGGTGGAATCAACGTGGTATCAATTCATCAAGCAGATCCATAGAATTCAATGAAAAATAATCTTACCTGGCTTCGCCACCTCATTTCTTCATCCAATCCTTCCGCGGCGAGCGATACCACATGTCCACGATCTTCTGCCGCCATTCCCAGCTCGAGTACAACTTCCTCCAATTATCGGGCTCAAGGCGTCGCTCACACGTCAAAGGATTCTCCTCCTCCTGCTCCTCCTCCTCCTCCGGACCCAATAGCCACTTTTTCAGAAATCCCTTCGGCTCCGTCACGGTCCTCACACGCGCCAACGACCTAACAATCTCAAGCTCCCACTCCATCGCAAACTCGATCTCCATGGCACGCATGCCAGCCCACTCTGGCGGAGCATCAAACTGCCCCAAAAATTCCTTATCTTCATCCGAGAACTTGAAGACGGGCACATCCTCCTGCAGCGCGGCACCGGGCTCGAGACCGAAGATCCAGATGTGCGCCATCAACCACATCATCAGGGACTCTGGGATTTTGCCTAGGTTATTCTCAAAGTGCATCACGATGTTGCGGCCGAGGTGGCCCTGCGCCAGCCAGCCCTCGATCTCGCGCGGGGTGAAGTCGAGGTCGATGAGGAGGGTCTGGTATATGTGGAGGAGATTGAAGGCTTGGTCGTGGGACTGGCAACGAGTGAAGAACCAGATCTGCATGGCGGGCAGGTCTTGGGGAGTCTGCGGGAGTTCAGTCAGTGTCATTGCTCTTCGAAGAAAGCTGGTTGTGGGCTTGGCTTGCTCCTCGTTGGAATAAGTCTGGCTCTTCTCGTTCTCCATAGTGTAGCTCTTTTTTGGAAGTTTCTTTCGGTGTTAGTTGGCTTCTATCGGGTATTGGGTGTGACGTAGCGCTGTGTTTGTTTTGTTGTTGGTACCAACGCGTAGGTGTGTGTGCTTGTACTGGATGGTGATCTTAACTACTTGAGGATGGGATGGAGCGCTTACATAGATTCTTGAGGTCGAAGCTTTTACAGAGCAACAGATGCCTTCAAGCCTTGTCCCATGCAAGATCTCAAACAATTCATTGTCAATCAAAATAGCTACTTCGTCCTTCATTGGTACAGACGCCACTGGCTTTGATGGTCCGAGGTACACAGTGACTATCTAGCAAAGAGCCACCAGAGGAACAAGGACTGTGGTGACTGAATGGTATTGTTGATTCGTTTTCGACGGGCAACTCTCAAAGACTATCTAAACTGTCACAAGCCTCCTTGCTAAGGCCGAGGCACAATTCTCTGTATCTCAATCGACCGCAAATCAGTGTACGCCCATGTTTCCATCTCAATTGGCGACCTATTAAGTGTATCTCTCTGCCATGTCGGCTTACTTGCGGGGAAAGACATGGAACTTCTGTGCAGCACGTACACATCAGTAACAAATCTGCAAGAACTGGTAGGGAAGTAAAAAGCTTACCACACCAGGCATACTCTGCATAGCGCGGGCGATCTCGCTAAGGGGCACGCCATTGAAGCCATCAGGGCAGAAGATGGCGTGGCCAGCCGCGGGAGGTCCATCTGGGTCCACGTTGGGCACCGAGCTGAAGCGCGTGCCGCGAACGGTGCGGACATACTCGCCCTTCGCCTCGAGCGCCTCCTTCTTGTGGCGGAGACGGGTCTGACCCTCCATGAAGACAGGGATGCGAGCCAAGTATCAATCGTCGTCAACGGGACCGGCGACAGCACCCATGATCTCTTCGGCGTGGAGCTTCTCCTGGCCCTTGGTGGTGATACAGCGGTCGAAGAAGAAGTCCTGGAGGGTCTGTGGGTCGGTCGCAAGTCTTCTCACGACAATGTCCTTGAACAGGATCTCGGTGGTGGGCTGGTTGGGGTTGACTTCGGCCATGGTGTTGTTGGTGTTTGGGGTTGTTTGCTGTCCATTGGGCGAAGAGGAGAGCAAACCTTTTCTGGTGCGAAACTTCTGTAATAATGGCAGATGCTAAGAGAAGTTAATGTTAGGGATGAGTTGGTGGAAAGAAGGCAAAAGAGTAGCTGATGCGAGAGGGGGAGAATTGGAGGTAATGGTTCTCGAATTCACCCAAGTGAAGCTTGTTGAGAGACGAAGAAGTTCTTTGAGGTCAAATGGACAGCATGAATCCCATGACCCTTGTCGTCTCGATCCTTTGTCCAGCAAACGGATAGATTGAAGGTCTGGCAGTATATGCAGCGAGCCGTTTGTCGCCAGCATCCAGCACCATGGCCCCGTAGGTAGCAAACCAGAGAGCTGAGCGCGGAAAGCCTGCAGATACAATCAGAAACGATAGTTATAGATGATCCAGCCTCTTTTTACATACCTTTATTGGTGTCTTCCCTTTGGAGAGCTGCCTGATATTGACTTTGTAAGACACGCACGAAACCTGAGCATGGGGAACTGTATCGCTGTGGGAAGTCTCTAACACTTGTTTACTACTCATAATTACTTGAGGTCTGTCCCTCAAAGTAAGCACGCCGATATCTCTTGCCACTGTACGCTTGAGTATTTCTGATAGATATCTTGCACGGGTATTTCATTCTTGAGACTGATATCGTTTGCGTTATCCTGACGTAGCGTCACTACTCGAGGGATCATTACTTGGGGAGTCGCCGCCTGTATTGCCGACACTCAAGGTATAGCTCGAGACCCCGTCCATTGCTTGATCTTCTTGTTCCACCGAACGTATGGCTTCTCGTACGCGAGCTGCCATGTAGTCAATGGTGTGCCCGGTCCACCAGCTTTCTCGATCTCGGTCCCAGCCATTCAGGATCTGACAGGAAACCCGTGACATTTTGGCGCACTCCCGGACGAGATCGGTATGGACTGTCATGGCATATCCCATTCTGCTGTCCTCAGGTATGATGACCCAGAGATTATGGCGAAACCACCAGATGTATACATCTTTGGTCAAAAGGCGAACCTCGGCAAAGTACTGCTTGATCATCTCGGCGAGTAGTGACTTGCCCCTGGCAATCATCCATCCCTAGATAACAACGCTGTCGAGGTCGAAGAAACAGCCAAGGCACTTGTATGTCGCCCAAAGGAGGCGTTCCTCTTGTTTATTGCCATATTGGCAAAGATCGAACCCGAAGTCTTGTCGTGTTTGCGGATCAGTGGGAGGCTCGCAGGTACCGGCTCTGAGGGACTCGGCGAGGTAACGGTGGGTATTCAGTCGTTTGTTCTGCGCGGGGCAAAGGGCCATGTAGTTGGCAGCATCAATATTGTGGGCTTTTGCCCTCTGACACTTGGAGCTGCAAAACCAGTTGGATTGACACTCGTTGCAGTGGTGCGCGAGTGTGGGTTCTTTGCAGTATATGCACCGCCGGTTGCCAGTATGGACAGGACTTTGTGTTGATTCCACTGCCGTTCGTGTTATTCGTTCGGACTCGAGACTGGCAAGATGGGATAGGGCAAAGAGTGATATCGTTATTAAATGTTGAATCTAATGTGTCGTATGGTTTGATATTGATTCGATGTCGTTCGCAAGCAAGGTCTATCGGAGGAGAGGTTTGTTCGGGTCGATGACTCGAAATAGGGGTAGATGGAAGACCTGTAGAAGGAGGAAGGAACGCGTCAGCAACGAATGCAAGAAAGAATGGAAGGAAGGAAGGAGGTCGACCGAACTGCTACTGCCATGATTCTATTCGGCGAGAACCTTCGACCCGGCCACGAGGAAGGACTGGACATCTCTAGTCTTTCCCTGATTCTATGCCTGTCGTTTCTGCCTCCTGGAATCGTGAGCCTCCTCACGTGATCCAATACATTGCGTTTTTCTCGTCAATTACTGGGAACTCGCTACGAACTGCGCGCCGTGCCATCAGCTCCCTCGCGGGCAACGGTGTGAACTAGACTTCAGGTCCTCATTCATGCGGAGCATTATCTTCTCACACTCCCCGATGGCCTTGGAAGTGGGCTGGTTCTGTCGCTCAGTTGATCCAGACGCAGCACCACATGACTGTATGCCTCACCTCGAACGGCACCGCCTTACTCGGGCGTTAGAGGCCACAGACAGGCCGACGGGAGAAAAGACACATTCAACACTTTGGACAATCGTCTGGAAAGTGGCTAGGCATTCCCTCAACATCAGAGCCCCAGGAAATGCTTCAAATTTGGCCACTATTCTGTAAAGTCCAATTACGGAATCCCTCCACGCAACCGCCACCCGGGGGCTGCAGAGACACGGCACCGAAACGGACATCACCGCCTCGCCCTGATCTTTGGGAACGAGGTTGACTGTACGCGTCGCCCAAAAGTTTATTCGCCATCGGATTTGACCGTAGATCGAGAAGTGAAAAGCGATGCAAATTCCCATTCTCTGTGATGCTCAGTCGGTGGCGATAGATGCACATCGAGGTCTCTGGCGACGGATCGAAAACTCTACGTTTCCCATGTCTCCAACATAGCAACATGCAAGTTACGGATGCAGAAAGGTCCGTTTTGGATCAACATTGCGCCCTTGCAGCAGCCACGTTCTGCATGGGTTCGAACGTCGTCCAATCAATCTCTCTGCTTTACCTCAATTCAGTTCCACAAAACCTTCCGTCCAGCATCTGGGCCGTGCCTGCTTGCCGTGTTATCAAAGTTGGTGGCTTTTTCACCGTTTTACTTTACAAAACTGGGGATTTGACTGCACCGTTGGAGAGGGCGTGGAACTGTAAACGCAAAGCAAAGTGTAAAACGGAGTGTTGGGCGGTCCCGTGCTTTCCCCTCTTTTCAACGCTCGATTTTCCTTTATAAACGAAGAAGGCCCCATCCCCTCATTTTCGATCCCTCTCACAATTCTCGATCTCTACAACATTCTGCCTCCTCCACCCATCGACGTCACCCACAGACTTCCTTTCCATTCCCAAAACTGGCAGCAGCCCCGCTCTTACGTTCACGACAATTGGTCCGTCCGACTTTTGACGGATTCCAGTCCGTTTCCCAAACCGGCCGAGTCCGTTCCAAATTCCATCTTCCAGAGAGTCAATGGCCCGGACCCCGGCAGATCTTGTCGCGCCCATGCCGGCCCTGACTTGGCGACGCCGTCCCAGCGAGAATGAGTGCAGCAACGCCAACGAACCACTAGCGCCCATGTCCCTGAACCATCTCAAGGCCAGCGAAATCATTCAGAGAGTGCGTTCTGCCCACCCGATGCGATTGCCAAAATTCGATCCTCATAATGGGATTTTCGAAAAAACATGTCCATCATGTGCTGACAAACCCTCTCTTGATGTACACAGGTCCATGGCGATGCAAACAACCTGCTTCGCAATATCCAGGGCTTGCTCCGATATAGCAGGGCACCCGCGCTTGATGGCGGCCGCCTGGTGACTGGAGCCTTGCTCGGCAACCCAAAGCTGCTACACGCGCAGAAGATTTCCCAGCACATTACCGGAGACATGGCGGAGTTGGTGGCCATCTCTCAGAAGTCAAAGGAGACGACCTTGCGAATGAGACGCCCCAGCCACTTGCGCAAGGTCCGCCGCAAACAATATGGGCAAGCCGAGCATGCTGCTGCTGCCGGGAACCATCACTCAAATGCAGTAAGTTACCGCAACTTCATCGAATGTTCCTCATATCTCTCCGGGCAGACAACGTCCGTGTCTTATTCTCATTCCAACATTCGTCTTACAAGCCTGGTTCACAATGGAAGCTCGGTGGGGTTTAGCTACACTGAACGTTCACTTACACTGAGGCACAGTTACAGAACATGTCCGATCCCTCCGTCTGCCACAACTGCCACACCACCTGTACACCACAGTGGCGTAGCGGACCCGCGGGGCCGCGTACCCTCTGCAATGTCTGCGGCCTGATTTATGCCATGAGGCAGCGGAAGCAAGGGCTCAGGCACAGCAACCGTGTCTCGGCGTCTTCCTCAATGTCGTTTTCTTCTTGAGCCTGTGCTGAGTCTGATTTACCGCTTTCATCACTTGTTTGCCATGATTGTTACAATTAGAGTACGGATACCCTCAGTTGCGCTCACGATTACCTTATGATACCACTTTTGTTCGAATCGGATTGGCGTTCATCGATGCTTGCTAGAGTTATGGGACTGCAAAACTGGAAGTTTGGATCAATGGGTTTTGGGTAGCCGTGGGTCAGGGATCTTGGGTGTCTGGGCTTTGGCTGGGGAGTCTGGGATTGGAGTTCGGTTGTGTGTCCTTTTGTATCCTTCCTAGTCATAAGATTGACTCAACGATTGGGGGTCCGTCGGCGCGAAAACGTTACTCTCACGGTTGTTCCTAGACAGGTTGCTCATGTGATGAGACTTCGACGCTAAAAGAGGCTTGCCCAGTGTGCGTGATTTAGTTGATGGAGTAGAGTGATAGGAACACTGGCCTCCGTCAATGATCAGTTGTTGTTTTTGTTATTGTTGTCATCCGTGTTCGTAACTCCAATAGCTTCAAGACGTTCCTTCCGTGCCTCCCGAACGGTAGGTAGAGCCGTATCTCACTGACCTCAGCGTGCCTACCAACCCCTGATGAAAACTCCGCTCATGCTGTCTACCACTTCTACATGATGTTAAAGGCCTCTGACACACTACTGTATTCCATCAGCTGCTTCTGGAATTGCATTGGTTCCTCTATCAATCTTGAGGTCATGTTTGTAAAGAAGTTTTGTAAATTTCAGGATATGCTACAGATACATCACTGAAGTTTCAACGCAGATTGCACTTTCATCCGTCTGCCTCCAACAAACACGACAACAAACATTACTGCTTCCTTGATTATGCAATTGACCAGAAGAGGGACCATGAAGTTTTTTGAAATGTTTCTTTTTCCAAGGACCTTGACAATAGGAAGTCCTGTATCGTGGCATCTTTTCAACTGGAAGGTAATTAAAACTGCTGGCAGCAACATCTTCTTCTACATCAATCAGAAAAGAATGGTGCTCATCTTGTGCCTCTTTTCTTTTGGCCTTTCTGTTCACAGCCTGAGTCCCTATGATGCACTGTGTTACGATCTCAGCAAAGCGGAGAGAATAGCAAGGTGTAGTCCTTGGCACTTCTTGAACTAAGGCACCTAAGCCTGTGAGGCATCACATCATTGGTATTGTTTCTCTTCAGGACGAAAACTTGTCAACTGGCATAGGATCCAAGCTGCTGTAACTTTTGTCTAGTGTGGCCATAGGACAAGATGTGTCACGATGTCAATCATCTCCCAAAAGCTTGGATACTCTGGCCCACTGTACCAAAAGACGCCCTCACCTCAGGATAGACTGGGTTCCTCTGAATCATCAAGCACGAGATATACTTATAGAAAATCGCCATGTTAGTAGTACCCGATATAGATTTAATCGATGTTTACTGCATGATGTTACATGTCAGCAAGTAAAGGAAGAGATTGCTCAAGGTTCTCCTCTTCGGGCTTGGTCTACGTGATCCTCTTTCGCTGGGAAATGCGACGAGAACGAAGCCGGGGCCACTATGCTACACAGGAGGGGTTGTGAAAAGGGGGGGATGGGGAAGGCAAACCAAACCAAATCAAACCACCCTTCTCCCTCGTTCTTCTCATCCCACTTGTCCCACTGATACCGCCTTACCAAATACAGATGTTCTCTCCTGCAACACCACTTTACTGACCATTATAGTCCAAGTGAAGTGGCAAACCGCGACAGATTGGATGGAGTAGAGGGTGGGCAAAGGAAAGTGGACAGCGGAAAGCTTTCATCCCCTTCTCCCTCATTCTTTCTCTGTGCTCACCGTATCACCCACCTAAATCCTGGCCCAGGAAAGCGTATTCCGTCCAGTGTGATAAACTTCGTATGCTAACACAAGGTGTTACGGGGCACCATGTCGCAAACTTCCTCCTCTGGCTGACACGTTGCCCACTGTGTCACGAAGTGAGGAGCAACCTGACATTGCCAATCCCAGTCAGGGACTCTTTTACCGCACTAAGAGGTCCGTTTTCGCTACCGGCAAGAGGGCCTAGACCCCCAGTGACGCAACAGCGCAGCAGAGGG